GAGGATGTGAAAGATATATAGGTTCAAAAAGGTGGTGCTAGAAACCACAGAATACTTCTTATGTTAACATTATTGAGAAACTTTGCAGACGATTAATATTTTGAAAGTTGCTATCACTAGTTTTTTTGTTGTAGAGTTACTGAAAGGATCTTTTTACTCAGTACCTAGTGAGCCTAAACAATTCACAAGTTTGACATTTAATTTACATGTCATCTTTAAAAGGCATATTTTTTCTTTGATTATTGCAAGAAATGGGTGATACAGCTTTTGTACTACGTTAAGCTATTTCAAAATTTAAAAATATTTAAAAAAATAAATTTAGTATAATGAATTGTAATCATTATTATCAATAAGAAAATTAGTTTAGGAAAAATGAGCAAAAATATTGTTTACAATTGCATCTTAGCTTAGCCCTCATAGATAACATTATCATACTTCTTTACGAATCAGAAGCTTTTAACAAAGTAAATTTTAAACAGAGAGATATTTATATAGTAATAAATAACCGCAGCATATTAAAAACATGATTAGAAATCGAAATAGAGTCCGGAAATTTGCTCAAATAATGGGTGACCCAGAGAGCAGAAGAGAGGCGAATCGTTTTTCAAATGAAATCTGGAAAAGGATCTATGCATTTAAAAATGTGAAATGGAGTGAATTTCTGATGGGTCTTGAAACAGGGGATAAAACCTTCTGGACCATGAATACGAACATCAGGCTGAACCGTAAACCAGTAATACCACCCATCCATGGAGTGACAGGCTTGGTATATAATATACAGATTTAGAAAAAGCTGAGACCTTCGCGGACACTCTTGAACTTCAATTCCAGCCCAATGAAGACTTATAATATGACTCAGAGGAAGAACAACGCATCACCGAGGACGCAAATAATATTCTGGATCAGGAGCTAAACGATAGCATTGCACCATGCACTGTTGAAGAAATCACCCAAATTATAGCAAGATTAATGATAAAATCGTCACCTGGTCATGATATATGTAATTAACAACAGATGCCTACGTAACCTGCCGGAGAATGTAATCCAGCTTATCGCTAACATAATTAATTGCATGCTCAAACTAGGTAAATTTTCTAAGTTCTGGAAGCTGGCCACAGTCATTGTCTTCCCAAAACCGGATTAGAATCCACAATTCCCGCAGAACTGGCGCCCCATAAGCCTGCTATCAACCATAGGAAAGCTTGCCGAAAGGGTAATTCTTGGCAGATTAAATAATGTAGTGGCTTCACGCAATATACTCCCTGACGAACAATTTGGCTTCAGGAGTGACCTATCCACGGAGCTTCAACTGGCTAGAACGACTCAAATGATCCAGCCCTTAGTAGAAGAAAGTCAATTGAAATAATCATTTTTGATATTTCTAAAGCTTTTGACAAGGTCTGGCATGCTGTTCTGATAGCTAAAATGTGTTATCTAGGTGCTCCAGGCAGATTAACTAAGATCATCGGCAGCTTTTTACGTGAGAGGTCCTTTCGCACGAAAATCAATAGCGCTCTCTCGTCAGTCCGATCTATACAAGCAGGGGTTCCTCAGGGTTCGCCACTATCCCCCACTCTCTACAACATTTCAACATTTATACATCTGATATTCCAATGTTAGGTCCCTCGACTCTGGCGTTATATGCTGACGATACGTGTATGCTATACTCAGATTAATGTGCTCTCAAAATAACGAACACACTTCAAGAGCATATAAACCTCATTCTGGAGAATTTTCAGAAATGGAAAATAAAAATCAATAATGAAAAAACTAAGGCTCTGTTTATAACGCGTAAGTGGAGAATCCGTCGGGAGTGAGAGTGGGTGATATGGTGATAAACTGAGAGGATAGCATTAAATATCTCGGCATCACGTTGGACAAACGATTCACATGGCTTAAATATGTTCAACTGAAAAGAATTAGCTGTGCCAAAATTCTTCATTATCTCCAACCGCTATTTAGAAATGAAAACCTCAATACTAAGAACAGGAAACTGATATATAACCAAATAATTCGTCCGTCACTTCTATATGGTTGTGTAGCGTTTAGCAAAGCTTCAAACACTACTATTCACTAGTTAGAAATTGCACAAAACCAGGCTCTGAGGAGACTTTTCAAAGTTCCTTGGTACATTAGAACAAATGACATCCTCAGGGACCTCAAGATTGATCCCATCAAAAAATGCATAAAGGATAGAGCCCTGAAATTATTTGCGAAATCTGACAGACTTACTAACACCGCGTTATCAAATCTCAGAATGGTTACAGGCTCCTCGCGGAGGTATGCAGATCTGAGGTCAATTATTGCTTAATTTGATGAAGTGATAAACAATAATCTAGTCAAGGCGCAAAGAGGGGTTTTGAAGAAACCTCGCAGTTAATAGAGAGTACAGGTGCACTGACTCAGCAAGCTTTAACATAATAATTTT